CCCCTCCCCCACTCACACTCTGTCTCTGTCTCTCAAAAATAAATAAACGTTAAAAAACTTAAAATTAAAATGAATACTCAAAGAACTTGATGCACTCGTTGTCTCCAAGGAAAAACCCCGCAGAACAGCATCAGGAGACCACCTCACCATGCACACTCCTAGATCTTTTGAGCTGTGCTACTTAAAAATATGTAGCTAATGCATATACAAAATTGATAAAAACCAAAGGAACAAGAAGGGCAAAAGCATTTTCTGGAGGCACGAAACATATTCATTTGTCTTTAAGTCATCACTGTACCCAACATGGGGCTCAAACTTACAACCCCAAGATAGTTATTCGCACTACCAACTGAGCCAGCCAGGCACCCCATTCATTCATCTTTTTAGAAAAAAAAAATTCTCTTACATAAAATCCATGAACATGTAAACCCAAAAATAAAGGAAAAAAGCATCTATAACTCTTAAGCAAATTCTTAACTTTCTATAAATTATATAAGCTAGACCAGACTTTTGTTTATATAGCGTCAGATGGACATTCAAATTTTCTTCCAGATAAATCAAAGAAATTAGGATATTTTACATTAATCAAAAGAAGGAGAGGTATGAACAATATTAGTTTCAATACATTTTCCTTGTGCCTTTTGGTGGGATCTACTTTTAGCAAGAGGCATTTAACATATATAATTACTAAATGTATATATAGAAAGGTATAAAAATTAGCTTTCATATCACAGTCTAAAAAATGATTAATGTAATCTTATTTAGTTAACAAGAAGAGAAAAAAAAAACCCTCCATAAATAACCATCTAATTATAAGAACACAAATGTTATTTTATAGAGAAGTGAGTAAATAAAGCTTCTTAAATTGCTAATTATTATAAAGTCTGGGATAACTATGTTGTGATGAGCACAAAAATATCACTAACTACAATCACAAGCTTCTGAGCCTCAAACGCAAATTGGGCTCAGGTTCCAAAATTCTAAACATTCTACAAATGGTATGGTTATACAGAAAAACAATGAAGAAAAATCACAGTTTTAAACGGATAAAGACATACAAGGAAACATCATGGTGATGCGGTTAGGAGAAAGGTCAGAGTATATGACGAGCTAGAGCCGTGACTGAAGCTAAGTGTTCTGCCATAATGTCCATGTGCACTGACATATTAACAATAAATAGATCCCTGGAATTACTAGTTTTATAAAATGTAAACCATTTATTCAGGTAGCAGCGTAGCTGAACTCACATCCAGTGATGTTCCAATAGAAGTGCTCATCGTTTTGACACTTATTTAATACTAGCAGTAGGAAATGCCTATTAAATGTGTGTATACACATGTTTGTGTAAGTAAAAACATATATACCTATTATATAAAGTTTATACACATGGACCCCACTGACCAAGTAAAAAAAAATAGAGTAAGTAAAAGGAGAAGTAGTATTTTGGCCAAATCTGAATGTCAGTGGTTTATACCATAATACATTCATAAAATAAAACTATATTTGTTACTATCATAATCTTTTAGAAAATTCTGATATTTCTACGTAACTTGAAATCTGGACATTTTTACAATGCAGGGATCAAATACGAAAACATGTTATATAAAATATTTTTTCACTTAAAGGTATGAAACTAAAGGAAATCATATGCTCAAAAGCAAATCCTCTGTTAATGATGCAGAGAGCCTTCTAGTATAAGACAGATGGTTGTATACTGAGACTAGGTCAGAAAATATTTCAAGTGCTATTTCTTTATTTTTCTTAGTAACGGCGTCAATGTAAAATGATCTTTTCGTTCCCATTGGCATATCCTAGGAACTGGTTTGCACATTGGAGTAAACCTTCCTTTGATTCAGAAGTTATTCCTACTAAATTCAGATAGACGTATTTCTGTATAGACTGAGGCTAGATATAAGAGAGCGAAGGCAATGATTCTGAGAACTGGAGCAGGAAACCTTGCTACCCATAAACCGAGTAAAGGTTTGTGTTGTTCCCAAGAGCTCAAACTAGCTCCGCATCAACCAAATCAACTGACTACACATTCCACTTATTATAGCCTCTTAAGGAACAGCCCAACTGACTATTTCCCAGGAGGGAATTCTGACCACAGCAGAGGCCACTGCTACCTGGTCAGCTGTGTTAGGCATGCCACAGGTGATAGGCTGAACTCTATAGAACAGCCAGAGAAAGAAACTTCAATGGCACAGCCCCGCTCAATGTTTGAAAGAAATGCCTTGAGTCTTGGCCAACAAGTTGTTAGAGATTGTGCTCACGCACATTCTTTGTTTGGGTGTGCAGAGAATGAAAAAGCTACGTGAAAATCAGTAAATTCCCTTTAAGGACATGGGCTCTCTCAAAAAATCTTGAGTTCTAGGAGTCTAAACAATCAGAAGCCACACATTTTCTAACGTTTGGCAAAAGGAGAATGGTAGAAAATCTTAAATAGGTTTCACGGCCCTTCAACTTTGTTAGCTTTACTACAGTAACAGATGTGAAACTGTGCACACAGCTGTGAATGATGGAGATGAAGATATTCAGGACTATCGGGGGGGGTCTAAATCAAATATAAATCTTGGTCATAAATGTAAGATAATACAATAAACACTAGCAGATGTATATTTAGACAGTATGTATCCATCACAGGACACTGTCACATGTGCTTTGAGAAGGCACCTTATGAGTTTTCCGTGCAAAAGCCATCTTTTTATTTCACTTTTTTACTCCTTTTGCTAAAAAGGAAATTTTCTTGTAAAAGAAGAAAACAAGCTACCAAAGAACATCCTTAAATATTACCCTTAAACATTAATTTGGTGAGAATAAATTAATATATACAATTAACACTATGAATTGACTATTTTTTTTAAAGAGGTTTCCACTATTCCCGGTGATTATAATTCAGTTATTTTAAGTGTTAGTTTAATTTACCAATTAAGATAATAAAAATCACACACCAAATCTGTGTGATGGATAACTTAAGGAGCAATGCCACTTCTCACGGTCTACGTAGAAAACCAACAAAACAAAACCTATAAGACTTCCTTCGTTACGTTTGCACCTGTATCACCACGACCCAGAATAATCAATTTCATTAACTCAGCGATAACGCTCGTACATTTAGTAAACCCCCATCAAGTGGATGAAGATGTTTAACAGCGAGGCTGCCTTCAGTGTGAAGGCAAGCAGGAGAGCCAGGAGAAGGATTGGGGATGGACAGATGGTACGCCAGCATGGGAGAGGGTGATGAAAGCAAAGTGGGAAAGAACTCTTTCTCCCCATTCGTCAGTCTTCCTAAGGCCTTGATAAATGACAAGTGTTTCTCTTTCCACTGAAAATGACTTTTCTGGGGGGCCCTTACCAGGCGCGCTATAAAGTACCAGCACCTAATCTACCTCTTTTCCTTTACTGGTCAAGGTGGAGTTACTTTTACATCTAGAACATTTTACGATTCCTTTGTAAATATTATGATTTTTAAAGCTGGGAGGAAATCAGGAAATCACTCGGTTTAACTAAGCCCTTGTTTTGCTGCGAGGGGAACTGAGGTCCAGAGAAGGCATGATTGCGTCCCTAATCTACATAAATATCCTGGCGTGACAAAAAAAGTTTGGGGATGCCACATTTAGTGTTATTAAAAGCAAGAGACGAACACACATAAGAAATGCTTCACAACACAAAGAAAAAAAGTACAAAAAAGAGCTCTCCCTCAGAATGGCTAGGTCATCTTGTTCTGATGTTAGCAGGAAATGGTAGATTAAATATAATGGGCTTTAAGAAATGGAGTAGGGAAAAGGTACTAAATGATGAAAAGTATGAACACGTGTATTGATTACCAACCAAAAAATTACGTACAAAATACTTACCAAGTACATATTATATCTCGAGGAAAATCCATAAAATGAGAGCTATAAAGCCTCTCGTAATTATTTTCTACCAAGTGTGTTTCTATCTCTGTTTCGTTGTAAGAACAAAACATACGGTAAGATCACGAAATGCACTGAATTCAAATCCCCAGCTCCCCTTCACATGAGGCACCTATGAGCTCAATTCCATTGCCACTTCCTCCAGGCGAATATTCTCCTTACACTTAGCTGCGGTGAGCAGGGAAACCTTGGGATAGAGTTTGATGATATCGAATTCTCCACAGCTTTCGATTCCTACTTCTATGACGGCCTTTCAACACGTGACAATTTCTTGTGTCAAAATAAGTATTTTTCTTAAACTTTAAAAGCGTGAAAATTCAAATATGTAGGTGTGTTCGGCTTCCTCATGCCTATCATCAGAGCCAACGTGGATGCTTTTTTGCTGGAATCACCTAGATCAGTGCTTTCCCAAGCGTCTCTGTGGCAGAATGCAAACTGACTTTACAATATGGCACCTGGGTAAACACTTTTGTTGTCACTATTTAAGTATGGGTTTTCATGGACTTTAGAAAAAAAGGACACACGGTTTTAGAAGTGAATCCATTTTAAAAATACGTTAAGTAAATAACAGTAGAGGTGGTGTGAATATGGCCAAACTAAATATGTAAGGTTTGGGAAATGCTATTCTACATATGGTAACTTCTCCAGTGATGAGTTAACATAAATATCACTGTTCGTGAAAATTCCAAACTAAGTTGTATTTTACTCTATTACTTCCTGGCTTTTATCTCATAAAGCGGTGTCAATCCACATAATACGAAAGTAATTTCTTTCCACAGAAATTAATTTTACTGAATATCACTGAAGGAAGCCTATGAAAATCAGCATTAATGAGTAAGACACACCCATCTTTCCATTATTAATAACAACTTCCCAATTCACCTAATTGTGGGCCACAACATCAATATTGTTCTGCACAATAATACCACACGTACCACACCCTGGGTAATGCCACAGTACTCAAACTGCTCGACACAGTCTTGCCCAGCCCAGTCTGTGTTGTTTTCTCCCCTCCAGAGAGGAAAATGTACCGTAGGCGCTAGCAAGAAGCTAAATGGAACAAGTCAAAACTGAAATACTTACTGTCGCTGGGGAGGCCCGAGTAGTGTGTGTCACTGAGTGACCAGAGTTCTCCATAGAATTGCCGATAAGATAGGTTCCTCCAGAGCTGCTGATGAGTTGTCCTCCGGTGACGCCCATCTGAATCCCACCGGTGCCCACCATGCTGTGGGACGAAACCACGGTAGTCACCTGCGCAGAACTCCCTTGAGTATCAAAGTAATTCCCTCCAGTGTTTTGGCTGTACATCTGCGTTTCTGTGTAAGGGTAAGTTGTTGTTCGGCTTTAGAAGAAGAAGGAGAAAGGAAGCAATTTAGTAGCTTATTTCTATCATCTGAATGATTTTTTTTTTCTAGCGTGAATATATGTTTAAATGACATCAGTTAGCTTATTACCCTTTGGAACAAGGCAAGTTTGGCATTTTTGCATGAAACTTACTCCGGACATAGTTGGGTTGACTTCCCAAATTAGAGTACCTCAGCATTCCTCTGTACTTGAGAGCTTTTTTGCCCTCAGCTAGTGCCTACCTCCAGCGTATAGATAAGTTCAGGTCTCGTCCATGTAAGAAATCTTCCTGAACAACTTGTCCGATTCCTTACAACACTTCCTGCGGATCCCAGTTTTAGGAAGGGGGCTGATGAGTCAACTCGCCCTGCTACTCCCCATTCCTGGATGGCCGCTAAGCAGCTTTCATGACCAAGGGAGCGGGCTTGGATCTCTTTCTGGCCACCGTAAGGACCTTGTTCACTCACCCTAGACCCTCAGTCCCGCTCTCTACCCCCTTCTCTTCCTTCACACTCAGGTTTCTGTTGGAGGAGAAGACTGTGCCATCTTTGCATGCCCTCACTTTCCACTTGGCAACACGTGGAGTTAAGCTTCTGCCCTTGGCTTCTCAATGCAGTTGCTTTTAATAAGGTCACTTGTGACCAAATCTAAATACCAAGCTAAAAGGCTGCAGTCAATCCTTATCTTTTTTTTTTTTTTTAATTTTTTTTTTCAACGTTTATTTATTTTTGGGGCAGAGAGAGACAGAGCATGAACAGGGGACGGGCAGAGAGAGAGGGAGACACAGAATCGGAAGCAGGCTCCAGGCCCTGAGCCATTAGCCCAGAGCCTGACGCGGGGCTCGAACTCACGGACCGCGAGATCGTGACCTGGCTGAAGTCGGACGCTTAACCGACTGCGCCACCCAGGCGCCCCAATCCTTATCTTTTTTGACCAGTCTGTAGCATAACGTTGTTGACCGCTCCGTGGAGCCCTTTCCTTCCTTCTCCTGTTCTGATTAAGTAGCTTATTTGCCTGATTTATTTTCCATCTCCAATGGACTCTAACTCAAATTTTAACCTGACTTTGGCTTTTCACTTCTCATTCTGAAATAATTAGAAGCTCACCACAAGTTGCAAAAGTAGGACGGAGAGGTATAAAATACTTTTACTTAAAAAAATTCAAATATCAAAAAGTCAAATATTAAAATTCCCGGTTCTATCATCATTCTCTTCAACCTGCCACACTCCAGAGCTAGCCACTCCAGATAGTTTGGTGTCTATGTTCTCGGCTCCCCTCTATGTATGCATAAAGTAACTCGGTCCTAACCTCTCTCATTTCTTAAGTTTCTATAGCATTTCTTCTCCACTTTTTTCCACCATTACTTTTCAAAAACCTTTTGGAAGCTCCAGCTTTCTGGGATTTTAAATACTAAGAGTTTCTGAGGTCTCCATTTTTAGTTTTTTTCTTTCTCCTTTTTATTCAGATCACCTCTTTTTACCATGCTCATAGTAAATGACCTTACCTAAATTAATCTCTCTCTCTACTTTGTGATTATATCTTTAAGAATTTAAAATCTGGTTTCTAACAGCCACCTGGGTATCTCTACCAGGAAACCCCACGATACATGGGAAGTCCCCTGTGTAAAATTTAACATTCGACCAGAAAGAAATTCTCCATCTCTCTTGCTCCTTTTCGCATAGTCCCCCCACTTCCAGGCGGAGGGCAGCACCACCACCCTCAGCTTTGGAAATTATTACTGACTCTTTCCTTGTCCAGCCCGACATCAGTCACTAAGTCTTCCTAATTTTACCTTCTAAACAATTTTTCAATTCTCCTTTCCATTTTCATACTCACTGCCTCCACTCACAATATTCTCTTTTATAATTGCCCTCTCACTGGCTTTCTTTCCTCTAACTTGGTTCTCTTCCAATCCGTCTTCAGATCTGCGGCCAGGGGAACTAACTTTTCTAAAATTCAAATCCGAAAATAAAAGTTTTCTTAAAAACCTCTCCATGAATCTCCCTGGCCTCCAGAAGAAATTCTAAACCCTTGATCTGCCTTACAGGAAGCTGCGAGGGCCGGTTCCCCCCCCCCCCCCCCCCCCGTGCTCTCTGGACGTGGGACTAGCCATGTCCTCAAAAGCTTTCCTCACTCACACCACGCGGACCTTTTCACTGGTTCCTCCCAGAATTATTTTTCTGCACCCCTTGCCGTCTATGGCCACTCCCAGTAGGGCTGTTCCGTTTGTTCCCTGTCGTCTCCCAACAACCTGTGCAAACCTGAAACACTTACTGCTAATTTCCAGTAATGCACTTACTGCTGATTTCCTCATGTCTCCGTACTCCTGTGAAATCACATTTTATTCCCATCTGTGCCCTCAACACTTGACGCACCTGCTGGTATCCAGCAGGCACACTAGTCAACAAATAAAAATACGATTCTATTTAAAAGTATATTTGACATAATAGCCACTTTCATCAATTTCTAAAACATAAATCCTTCTTTGTTTTGTGAACACATGAGAAGTTACGTAAACTATTCCGAGATGTTTTGGTGTCGCTGAAAGCAGGTCATTTAAACCCATTACGATGGATACTTGTAATATAATTTATAATGTACATTCTAGTAAAATAATAAAGATGTTCTAAAAGTATTCTCCACTCGGTAAAGTTACTGCTTTCCTGAAAGAGCACAGATCCAAGTACAAAATTTAGTTTGGGGTGATGATTGAAATAACTCCACAGAGAACGCTTTTTTACACATAGAAAGATGTCATTTAAAATACATATACATCACGGTTCTATTTCCCAACTGGAAGTCCATTTATATTTCAAAGAATAGCCATGTTGATTTCAAATTTAGGTAAAAAAGAGAAATGCAGTCACTTTAATTTATCCAAATATGACAATGACCCTATGTCATTGCGCTGAAAATAACCGTCTTTTGTTGCTATTTAAGTAAAGCCAAGTAAAGTGTAGAAATAAATAGGTGACAATAAATATTTCCACAAAGGTGGGTATGCTGCTGGCCTTCCTTTTCATGGTCCAAACAAAATGATTACGCGTGCTTCTAGCACTAACTTGATTTCACAAATGAAACACCCAATAGCTAATAATAGAGAATATTTCCTGACCAGTTCTGATGCAACAGGCACTATTTTACGTGCTTTTCAGATGTTAACTCATTTAATCCTCATTACAACTCTACGAGATGGGTACTATTCTAATTTCTATTTCACAGACAAGGTGAGTAATTGTTTAGAAAAGGTTAGATAGATTACATAGCCTTGCCCAAAGCAAACAGCTAAAAAAAAAAAAAAAAAAAAGATTTGGAGTCTGCACTTAGCCCATGCTTTCAACCATTTCATCACAAAGAAATAACTTTTTATGCATGTCAAAAATATTTGTGAACGACCATGGGAAGAAATCTCTACAAGGTGGTCCAGGGAATGCATGAACTTCCTGTGGCTACTGGGGATTTCCTTACACCTGAGCTCACTATCTCCTAGCACCACAATCGCAGAAGACAGACGCGCAGTGATCAACAAGGAGAGATGGACAGGGCAGGGTTGTTTCAGAGGACACATAACCGCCTCACACTTGGAGTTTAGAGGGTCTAAGATCATGGAAGAACCAAGAGTAGAGTAGAGTAGATCGCCACTCTATCATAAGAGAAACGCTCCTAGGGATCTGAATCACTCCATCTGTTGGACATGCCTCCTCGATATACTAAGTACTCAGTGAACAAGGGTAATACAAACAAATGCACCGTAGGTATACAAAATCTCTATAGCCCGCAAATCAGTATGAAAATATGGCAATTGACTTTTATTTTCATACATCCTTCTAGTAGTTAGAGATGATTCGTGAGCTAGAAAGTGAGAAAAGAACGCGAGGAGGGGAAAAGTCACTGAAGGATGTGCCTCATCCATATTTGACATCACGTGGGGGGAAAAGTCTTGGCTACTGCACAAACACATATTGGGGTAAAGACTGACAATTTCAGCTGGGGGGGAGGGGCAGGGAAGAACACATTTTATCACGAAATCAAGTGTCGTGAATGGTTTCTGAATTTGTCTCTGACAAATCAACACTTACAGTGGGAAGAGAGGAGACTCTTAAACTGGGTCACAGAGGCAGACCACAATATCCTTAGTCCTGTCCTTCAAAGGTTAAGAAGATAAGCATTAACCCAGTGCTGGATTTCTGCCTGGAGCTGGAGCCAGAGCCATGCACAGATAACTCCTAAAGTTCTCTGTCATGTCTGCATGCTCTAAACTCCTGGATAAATACTGAAAAATGTATGTAAAAAAAAAAAAAAAAAGCAGACAACAGCCAAAACAGTTCTTTCTTACGTAGTAGAAGCAACGACTCTTTAATTCTGATACCTGAGATCAGCCTATCTTTCATAACGTATCATGAATACATGTGAGTTATGGCTTGCACACTATTTCCCAACCCCCCCCCCAAATTTCCAACACATACGTTCCAGAAAATGTTCCAGAAGCTTCTTCGTAGCTGACTCTTTTATAAGGTTCTGTGTGAATGTCAGGACTGATCCAGTGAATTCAGGAAATTAGTGCTGTTTGTATCCCATGATGCCTCAGCATACACTCTGGCTAAGCATGACCCTGAATAGTCCCAGCCCGCTTATTTACTAGAATGATTATGTCAATTTACCCTAGCTATAACCTATTTTCTATTTTCTTTAGCGTCAAGTGTCTTATCCGCAAGTCCAGCTATATAATATCTGCAAACTACGTGCTTTGTGTTTTACCCAGGTTTTGAATATCCTCCCACCAATAAGCCAGTCAACTACAAAATTAAGCAATGGCATGAAAATGGTAAATTAAGGAAATAAAATATCTTGCAAGTTTTTTTTTATTTTATTTTTTTTTTAATTTTTTTTTTTTAACATTTATTTATTTTTTTGGGACAGAGAGAGACAGAGCATGAACGGGGGAGGGGCAGAGAGAGAGGGAGACACAGAATCAGAAACAGGCTCCAGGCTCTGAGC